ATATATATTTATTTATTTATTTCCAGGACTTTCAGATTTTGAAAACAGAAGCCATGTTATTGTCAGAGAGAAAGAAAAGTGGGGCCACGTTCACTCTTTTGGGCTTCTCAGATTACCCAGAACTGCAGATTCCCCTTTTCTTGGCATTTCTGGCCATCTACAGTGTCACTGTTGTAGGGAGTCTTGGAATGATTGCAATCATCAAAATTAACCCCATATTGCATACCCCCACGTACTTTTTCCTCAGCCACCTCTCATTTGTGGATTTTTGCTATTCTTCCATTGTTGCTCCCAAGATGCTGGTGAACCTAGTTATAAAAGACAGAACCATTTCATTTTTAGGATGCATAGTGCAATTCTTTTTCTTTTGTACCTTTGTGGTGACTGAAATTTTTTTATTAGCTATAATGGTCTATGACCACTCTGTTGCAGTTTGCAACCCCCTGCTCTACACAGTGGCAATGTCCCAGAGACTCTGTGCTATGCTGGTGGTGGGATCATATGCATGGGGAGTAGTGTGTTCCTTGATACTCACATGCTCTGCTTTGAAATTATCTTTTCATGGCTTCCACACAATCAATCACTTCTGCGAGTTCTCCTCACTTCTCTCTCTTTCTTGCTCTGATACTTCTCTCAGCCAGTTGCTGCTTTTCATCGTTGTTACTTTTAACGAAGAGAGTACATTACTCATCATTCTCACTTCTTACGTATTCATTGTTGTCATCATCTTGAAAATGCATTCAGTTAGTGGTCATCGTAAGGTGTTCTCTACCTGTGCTTCTCGTCTGTCTGCCATCACCATCTTCCATGGCACCATCCTCTTCCTCTACTGTGTGCCCAACTTTAAAAATTCTGGGCACACCGTCGAAGTAGCCTCTGTGGTGACCCCCATGTTGAATCCCTTGATCTACAGTCTGAGGAGTAAGGATGTCAAGAATACAGTCAGCAAGATAATGGACACTAAATTCTTTTCTCATTGAGCAAATTATTTTAGTAGAATTTGTCCCTAACTTGTAAATAAAGTGTGTCCAAAATGTGCTTTTTAAAGAAAACTTTAAAATTAATAGTTAACATTGTCCTATGGTGAAGATATGAATTTTGGTTCAAAGAGACTAAACTTGACTGTCTCTTAATTGTAGGAAAAGACCAGCCATCTATTTCATACTTAGTTTTAAATCTATGAAATTGTGATAACATGAGCTAACTCATAATATGATAGTGAAGACCAAAAGGTAATATAGATATCATGTGGGACACTTTGCATAATCTGAATAAACATTATTTCCATCTTCTTTCTTATAAGATATCTGGAGTATGGTAGGTTCTCACTAAACACTTTTTTTTTTTTTCTTAGAAGTCTACAAATTGTAGTAAAGATAACACATAGACCTTGCCTTCACAGACTGCATAATCTAGTGGTGATGCTGGGCAATAAAGAAATTGGCTATTGTATAAGACTGACTATGATAAGTATCATAGAAGGTTTGGGGTAAGGAATAGTTTGAATCTAATAGGGACTTTAGAAATATGTCTTCATAAAAGAGGTATTATTTGAAGTTGACCTGGAGAATGGGCAGAATTTTAGGAGACACATTTCAGTGAGGAATCAGTGAAAAAGGCATTTTATTCAGTAGAGGCTAGAAAGAACAAACTCAAGGAAATGAGAATGTAATACTGAATCAACCAATTATGAAGTGAATACCATATAATGTGTGTGTGTGCTCATCTGAGTGTGTTTGTATGTGGTATATTATGTACAGGTTACTTTGGCATGAATGCAAAGTTCAATAAATACAGTCAATATCCTGAACGTGCTTTCAAAAGAGATCCTGTGTGACAGAATGTTAAGTTTGATAGGCTACTCCAGAGGCATAGAAATGGATCTCGGGAAACCAATATATGCAAAAAATGGAATGCATTCCTAATCTGTGTTTCGTGTTATTATTTTGGCCATCCAGCCATCATAAATGTTATATATACTTCTTTGGTCATTTTTACATGTATTTTTGGATCATGGACATAACTACTGAATCCTTCTCAACAGAATTCTCATTCATCATAAAAAAATCAAAAACTTTATTTGGAGTTGCCAAACATGTTGCACACTAATTGCCTACATAAACTTATTCAAAATAAAATGAAAGGGAGGCAGTAATTTTTATCTAGACATATGTAATTCAGAAAATTCAAAATATCATGTATATCTTATTTTAATAACAATTTTCTTGACTAACTTACACATCCTTCTCCTTTTCTCTACTCAATATGTCTAGATAAAATTCCAAATAAAACAGTAATATAGTAGAAGAAATAGTTTGTCAGATGTTTTAGTGAGGGAGAAAAAACTAAATTTGTGGAACAGTTTTATATGGCTCAAGAAATTATTTGGAAGATTCATATGATTTCGAATTTATGGTCATTATCCAAATTTTTTTTTTTTTTTTAAATATTTTATTGTACTTCAGGTGAAGGCTTACAGAACACATAGTTTCTCATGTAACAGTAACACACATGCTGTTTTATGACATTGGTTAACAACCCCACAACATTTTAACCCTCTAAATT